AGACGTTATTTCCGACTTTAACTGCTGACCTTATGCCAGTTAAAGTTATCTTGTATAGCCATATAAATATTGCTGGAATGTGGTTTTCGTATGTTTTTTCCAGGATTTGGCGCAGAGTGAGAATCTGGTCAATGGTGGGTTTGCCAGGCTTGAAACCGCATTAGTATGGTCCAATAAATTGACCATTGACTTCAGTCGTTCACACAGTACGCTGGATAGCACTTTATATGCGATAGAAAGGATAGTTATTCCTCTATAGTTAGCACATATCGCCTTGTCTGAGGTTCCAATCATTGGGCATGCCTTCCTGTAGCCAAATTGTACTAATCAGTTGATGCATGATCCTGAACAGCGTCTGACCCCCGGTCTTGAATAGTCCGGCTGGTAATCCATTGGCACCTGTTGCTTTATTATTCTTCAGTCGATTAATTGCTATGATGACCTCACCTTGGCTGGGTTGTATACAATCTATACTGTCATTTCTTATTGGTTGTGGGGTATCTTCTTCACCGTCACTATTTGATACCAGAAGCTATCTGCAACTTTGATAAAAGAGAAAATAGATTTTTTTTGGTATTGATTAATGGCCATTTCCGAGTTTATGGTGATATTTGATGATAGCTTCCAAAACGAAATTCAAATTATATAGAAACCTGAAAATCGTTGACAGAAATACAATGAAAAAAACTGTATCGCCATATTACCCATAATATTACGTTTATATTTAACCGGATCTCGTTAACCCAGTGGGTTTCAATTGTCAATTCCTTTGTCAAATAAATCCTCATAAAGTAGGTTAACCCGGTAAAAAGTTCTAATGTAAAAGGTCGTTTACATTTAACCGGATTTGGTTAACCCAGTGGGTTTAAATTTTCAATTCCTTTGAATATATGCCAAATAAATCCTCATAAAGTAGGTTAACCCGGTAAAAAGTTCTAATGTAAATGCAGTATATGTGCCGTTTAATATAATTATCAAATGTCTTTAATTAATCTATAATAAAATTCTTTGTTATACACTTTTGTCTGACACTGTATAATGCATACTTCAAACAATCGACATTATTTTTTGTTTTGTTTTCAAAAACCTAATGACACTGACAGACCACCACCACCACCACCATATATATAAATGAGCGATTATTCATTAAATCTATTGTTATTGAGTTGAGGTTACCTGAGAAAAATTCGGAAACGTCAAGCAAAGCTTATCGAAAGCTTATTTTGATTTTGAAATAGAACAAACAATAATAAAAAAATGATTCTGATAATGAAATGGCAAATAACAAGCACCGAGTACAGACTTGCAGGCATGACGTGGTACTGATACTCATTCTGGTACACAATTTGTATTAGTTGCTGCTGTAATAAAAAAATTAATATGTTGATAAAATAAATGTTGAGAGTTCTGTGGATGTTGTGGTGAAAGAAAATCTTTCGATAATGTGTGCATTTATATAGTACAGTATATACAACGGATGTGGGAGCACATTTTTTGATGAAATTTCGAAGACATTTTTACATATAAGCCCTGTAGTTCTCTTTTTGTATATTATTGACGAACGCGATGTCTTTCTGTTCAGGACTTGTTTTCTGCATCAAACGGAGTAGATTGTCCATAATTTTCTAATGATATTGAAGTTTAAATATATTTATACAGTTGCGAAAAATAAAAAAGCACCACCCATATCAACTTTTCTTTAAGTTTGAAGAACTTTGGAATTTATATTTAAAAGAAAAAAATCTATATGAATATACACTCGTTTTGATTTTTATAGTTTTTATTACATACATTACCGAGCTTAAACAGATTTCCAAGCGTGTCGGTCTTGTGCGCATATTATCCAATATGAAAGATAATGTTGCATTCTACTAGATCTTTCCATCGGATTCGTGGGCTTCCTCTTCTGCGTGATCCATCACTTAGCTCGCTTTTATATGTCTTTTAAGTGGGGGAATCCTCACCCATTTCCAAAACATTACCTAGCCAACGTAGTCGCTGCAACTCCAACCGTTTGACTATGTTGATGTTCGAAAATAAATGGTAAATTTGGTACACAAAATTTGGGCCAAATACCAAAGACCCTATTGAGATAATTGGTTCCTCGGTTAGTTGAACAAAAAAAAAATGTGCAAATTTTGATGTGCAATTATCCGAAAAATACTGTATTATTCTATATTCAAAGAAATATTTCATACAAAATTGATTTAAAAATTTCTTTAGACACTCTTTTTATAATTTATTATTTATTGAATTTATACTCAAAATGTACGAGTTAGGGGTCCATTTCGACCACTGAAGAATCAATTTTATTAGTAAGTATTTCAAAAATAAAACATGCAGATTGGAACTTTCTTCGAGTTTCTAAACTTAGCAATCCTAGTAATAAACACGTAGATTTATAAGAGGGCGTGTCAGCAGTGATTTTTTCCAAACTTTTTAAAACATCTTTGACATCCTTTCTACACGAGATATATGGAAAACATCTGTTTATTGCTAAGGAAATGCCCAAAGTTTTTGAATTTTATTTGACAATAGCATTAGAAATTAATTGCGACATTGGCATTTCTGTATAAACAATTTTTTCAATACGGATCAGAAAATTGGTTCCTGCGCAATTTCTTAATTTCACAAAAGCAAGTACCTTGTAGGATTTTATGTTCCAATATGAATAAAAAATATTCGTTATAGGGAAGTTCGACTGTATATATATATATTAAATGCAAATCCACGCGTTTATTGCTGCCAAATCTAAAATATTTTAAAAAACTTGAGGAGGCAATCGAAAACACTCGGTTTTAGACTTTTCCATAGTTATTATATTGAACTACATATGTATATAAAATGTAATGCAGTGGCCCTTGTCTACATCACATTAACAATGTTTTTTAAGTATTGTACGCATCATTGAACAAGCTACTCCATTTATGCAGAAAGTAGCGTACAAATTATCGAAAGAAGTTACTCCACTTATTGTTTCCAAAAATTTCTGTTTTGAGAATCTTTGATTTAATTGCGTATTTTTCAGACGCCAAAATTTATTGTTGTTGCTGTTAAACAGACACAATAGACAAACGTGTTCTCTAATGTATACACTACTTCATTCATTATTAAAACCTTCCCGCTCTAATCATGATTGAAATTCCAAAATTGTGTCCGCAATAAAAATGAATGTGTGGTGCAAAGACCTAATAAAAAAATGCGCAACGCCAACTATTTACCACCAAAAAAAATTATTATTTGTTATTTCATATTTTCTAATAATTTGCTCTGGATTAACCTATAATTGGTTCAGATTATAAGCTTCGCTCCAAATATTGAGTTCAATGTTTTAATAAAGAAACCCTAAATAGGTCGATTATGTAGCTTCGCTCCAGCTATGCTACTTATACCTATTTGCCATAATATACCCAGATTACGTAGCTTCGCTCTTGTTATCCTATCTTACACCTCTTACTACTAGAGTCTAAAATTTCAAATCAAAATAAACACACATTTTTCTAAGCGACCTCTCTCAAATAAATGTCACCTAATGTGTGGTATTATTGAATAAAAAAAATAAAAGCTGGAACATATCTGCAAAACAAGGCATGCTATTAAAAGTTATACAAATCATACAATATTCATTCGTTTGGTTTTCATTCATCAAACTTACCCCGCCGCGCGCTTAAAACATACCTTTCCCTCCCATCTATATAAACCATAAACCACCCATCATCAAAAATAACACGATACTGCCGGCCGGCCGCATTAATGTAAACCCTACATTTTAAGCGCTATTAACCAGAATGGACACATTATTATTAACGGAAAGCAAAGTAAGATGAAAGATGTCCACTGAAATGACAAACATCCACATCTATCCATCCATTCATCCAATGGACTAACTTACGAACCAACCAACCACCTTCTTCTACTAATGCTAAACGTACAGTGACTGACTGACTTGGCTGTGTACATTTAACGTCAATACAAATTTTCAAATTTTACCGCCAAACATCATTTTCAAATCTCTGAGCCAACTGTACTCACGGAACCCTAGCAAATTTTGTATGAATTTACTCAAGAAACCCATTTGCCCGGTCATTTCCCAAGGCAATTTTGATCAGATTTTTTCCGTAGACATGTCAAAATAAAGAGGGATTTTTTCTCCATGCAATGTCGGTGGTCCCATGCGAATCGGAATAAAGCAAGGGTCCCAAATCGAGGCTAAAGACCCACAACCTCAAAGACTTTGAAATGCTAGCAATTCGTTATACGGTCACATTAACTTTGCAATGGAACAGACGCCTTCAGTCGATTACGGACATTCAACGGGTACACATCTCTTGGTGGTTGAAAAAGCTATCACAAACACGACAAGCCAGCAAGCAAAGCTATACGCGTCGTTCGTTTTGTTCAATTGACAGACCGACCGACCTCAAGCAAGCGACGACGAGTAGCATTTTTCTCTGAAGCGAAAACGATTGTGTTTTTGCATGAACACATAGCCACATTATAAAAACAGAAACAGATTGCAAATATTTTCAAGAGTCAGCAAGCAGCCAACAATTCATTCATTCACACACACACAACCACTCAGCCAACCAACTGCCTACCTACCTAACACATTGTTTTGTGTGTGTGTGCGTGTGTTTGTGTGTAGCACTAACAAACAACTAACTTAATACTAGCCACAACAGCTAACGTTAGAGGGTTAGAGAGAGAGGCAAATATAGGCGGCTTGTTGTGCGCTCTTACCCCCTGTATACACTGCGAAGAAAAAGTCTTTCAATACTTAAATACACACCGCTAACGTAAAAATTAAACAGTGTGTCTGTGTTGCTCGTTGGGTACGGTTCTCGGTGCGAGGAAATTTATAGAAACGCAAGAAAAAACAAATTAAAATATTTCAAAGTGAAATATTAAAAAAAAATAAATAAAAGAAACAACATTTTTTGTAATAAAATTACAAAAAGTGAAACAAAGATATATAACGGAATAGAAGTTATATAATTTGAAATTAAAAAAAATATTTAATTTTTTAAATAAAAAAACCAAACAAACAAAAACACATCATGTCTGCCGCCACAGAACAACAAAATAACGGTGATGTCGCTGTTGAGAAAGTTGCCGCCGATGCAGTTAAAGAAGATTTAAAATCAAAGAAACCTGCCGTTGCCGATAGCAAACCCGCGGCGGCTGATAATGGCACAGCGTCAAAGGATGAAGTCAATGATGAGGATGATGCCGCACCCGCTAAAGAACAAGTCAAAGGAACAAAACGGCCTGCCGAAGTAAGTAACGCTAACACTAATGTCCTTTTTTATATCCTTTAATCACAGAAACCCATAATTTTCTGGTAATGGTGGGCATTTTAAAATTTTCTGCGATAGGTGAATCGATAGTTTTTAATTACTTGTCTGTTGTGATAACATTCTAGAATTAGGGTGGTGGTGGTATAGGTAGGTGACTACTGTGAGTATATAAAACGAATTAAGCCAACCCGCCTGCTGCCTGCTTGCCTTTTAAGCTCTAGCAAAACAAGCCAGAGCAAAAAAAATAGGTAGTATTTTTTTAAATACAAGATATCAGTCTGTAGCATAAAAAGGGAAGAACAAGAGTATAGAAAAAACTTTAGGAGGATATTTCTGTCGTAAGCGCGCGCATTTTATGCCATTACTACATATCGTTGTTTTTTCTACTGCTACCAACATCTTTATATAAATAGTACACAAATGTTGTGCTGCGGAGATGCTTTACCACTGAGATTTGTGTGTACCTACATACCACCTACCTTTTTTGTTTGACGACAGCAAGGATACTTGATCTGGATCTTTCTAGATTTGTGATGTCCTTCCTTATTCTTTACTATGTTTGCAATGTGATTTTGAAACAACAAACTATACAATTTTATTTTTTCTTTAAAATTAAAATTCTCTAGAAATTCATTCATTGCAAATGATTGTCATCATCGTCTTATCCTGCCCACTTTTAGTTTTACACACACACCCTGATTTCGATAGTACATGACCAACTTTGAATGCATAAATACATAAACACTTTGAGGTTGCAAAAAAAAAATAATAATAATCATTATAATAACATACACTATCAGAAACCATTAAAAATGTCAGGCATTACAAATGTGTAGTTATTATTATTTTTTTTTTTCAAGGAACCGGCCGGCTCAAGTTGTAGATCAAATAACGTTGCTTTGCAAATATTGGATTTTTTAAGCTTTTTTCATTTTAATGGGAAATTTCATTTTCGAAAACGATCCTATTTTTATAGAAATACCATTATTTTAATTCATTTCAAATTTATTAATTTCTTTTCCACGACAATCATTTAAAAAAATGGTTTTATATTTAGGCGCTCTTTGATCATTGGCATGCAAACAAACACAAACGAACATGTCTTTTCTAGTAAATACAAAAGCAAAGCCAGCCAGCAGCATGCATGGCCCATTTGTACAGTCTCTGAGTGTAGAGAGTAGGTAAATGACGCCAAAAAACAAACTGACAACGATGCCGCCACACAACTCTTCTCTCTTCTATTTAAGGTTTTGTTATATTTTTTTTTCGTCGTGTTATTCACTTGTTTGTGTTGTTTTTTCACATAGATTCAAAACAAAAACATGAAAATGTGAATTAATGTTACGTTCTTTTGTGTGCAAGCAAGCCAGCAATCCAACAAATTATAATTTGATTGTTTTGTTTTAAGAGCAAAGTGTCATGTTGTTGTTTTGCCAATCATTTATTTATTTTTTGTTGTTGAGAGTACAGAGAGAGCACTTGATACGGGACAAAACAACAAGATAACAAACGAAAAAAATAAAAATTGTAAACAAATAATTGGCGGAGCTTTGTCGAAGTTGAAAGAAACTACCGCTCTCGCATTTTCTCTACCTCGCTCTCTCTCACCTTTAGCATTCATTGCACTATAAACAGTGCAATGACAAGGCGCGCACACACTGTAAACAAATAAAAATACAATGCTGCTGCCGGCAGAGTTGACGGCGTTGCTTTTCATACATATACAATGAATGAGTGAATTCTTAACGTGCAAATATAATACATATGTATGTGGACGACATATAGTATATGTGTATGTAGTATATAACCGGTGTCTGCCGCTGCGGTGGCGGCGGTGTCGGCTGCTGTAACATCGCCCTATATATTTTTTATGCGTTATTTCTCTTGCGCTATTTCTTTTTGGTTTGTGCCATTTTCTTGAGTTTCTTTTCACATTTTTATTTTCTCAAGCTGGCTGGCATGCATACAAGTGCATGTTTGTGTTGTAGAGACGGAATAAAGAAAGGGGGTGTAGTATAGTAATAAAAGAGGAATTGAAGAAAATGACAGAAAATACGAGAAGACGATTAAAATGTACGTTTAAACGCCATACATCGTTACGTTAAATCACCCTTAAACCACAGAAATAAATTACAGAGGAAGTAAAGAAATGTTGTTGTTGTATATTCTGTTACAGGAAAAAATATTTTACGATGTCTGTTAACAAGCGAATAGTGTTGTTTCAAAGATGGGGTGGGTGGTGGTGGTGTTATGTGGAGAGGAGAGTTGTGTCGTATATATTTCAAGTACAGTTTGGTTAGCAGTTCTGTTATAATGATGGAAGCTATATATGAATTTATGGTTATTTATAAAACAACGTTTACATTGACGTGATTTGAATAAATAATAAATGACAATAAAAATGTAATGATCTACCTTAAATTGTATTTTATATATGTATATTTGATAGATTATCGATTCCTTTATATTATTTATTTTTATATCAAAAAATCAGTCTCTTTTTATTGAATTGTTGCTAATTTCTTCCCTATTTTTTACAGGCTAAAAATTCTGAATCAAAGAAAGCCAAGAAAGACAAACCAGTTGATGGTGATTCGGATGATGAAGAAGTAATAGATGAAGAGGGCAATGAAGGTGACAGTGATATCGAAAGTGACGAATACGATATCCCATACGATGGTGAAGAAGATGACATAGAATGTGAAGGTAAATTCCATTAAAATTTTCAATAATAAATCTTTTATTGCATTGGAATTCTCAAAAAAAGTTCATTACATATATTTTTTATTTAAAATATCAAAATTCTATATGTATTTTAATGGACTATAAGCGAATTCCACAGTATATAACTGTCATTCAATTTAAAAAATCACATTTTCTAAATTTCCCTTCTTTTTAATTTTTTTTTCAGATGAAGATGATGAAAATGATGATGGTTCGGGTTCTGATGATCAAGCGTAATAATAATATAGTAGTCAAAACCTTTTAAATTAATAATTATTGAAAAGAAACAAAACAAAAAAATGGAAAAATTCAACAAAAATCGCAAAACACACTAAAAAATGTTTCAACAACAAAATTTTAATATACATATTTTTTATGTTAAGAAATATTTTTTTTATTTCTTATATTTAGTTTGTATTGTGTATTAATGAATGTGTGTATTTCATTCTGTTTTTTTACAACAAAAGCGAAACTCTTTATTTTCTATTACGACAAGAAAAAAGGAACAACAACAACAGAACCACACAACATTTAATTTGATCTTTTTTTCGCTCTAATAATATTGTATGTTTAAGTCATCTTTTTTATATATTATTTAAAATTATATATATAATACATATAATTTAAACATAAACAACTTAAAAATGAAAAAATACAAAAAAGTAAACACAAAACCATTAATTAAGCATTAGACGTTATATCTGTAGCTATAAAAAAAGAGAAGAAAGAAAAAAACAAAACAAAATACAAACAAAAAGTATTTAAATAAAAACAAAATTATAAAAAAATATAACAGTTTTTTGTATTTACCAGAATAAGAAAAAAAAACGTATTTTCTTTGTGCAACTTTTCTTTGCTCATCCCAACCTCCGCAAATTTTTGGCGCGTCGAAAGACCATGTGTAAGCAGAATTTTGTCTGTGACGAAATTTTTTGTAAAAAAAAAGTATAAATATTTTTCATACACACCACTTTTTTTTTGATTCATTTTGCGCAGACCCAATTAAGAAAATTGTGTTTTTTTGAATACGTATTAATTCGCCATACTCTTTCTTTTTCGTATAGAGAATATATTTTCTTAGGAAATTGACTCATAAATGCAAATATTTATACAAAAAAAAAAAAAACAATATAGTATTTATTTATTTTTGATGAAATTCAAATGTTGTGAAAGGAACGTAATGATTTGTGTGAGATGAATAAGAGAAATGACCTTTATATTTTAGAAATGAAACGGTAAATTACTTCCATATATTGAAAATTATTTTGGAATTCACAATCTTTAGTAACGGAATATAATATTGAATATGGGGGTAATTTAAAGGACTTCTGTATGTAAAAAAGATACCTTCAGGAGGAGGTTCCTTAATAGAAAGGCTTTCAGATTGGATATTTCTAATTTAAAAAAAATTATTTTTTTATTTATTTAAAAAAAGATACCTTTAACGGGAGGTTCCTTAATATAGAGGCTTTCAAATTGGATATTTCTATTTTAAAAGTTCAAATAAAATTTTTATTTCATTTATTTATTTATTTTTATCATTTTATTTATTTATTATTATTATATTTTATTATTTTATTGTTTTTATTTTATATTTTATTATTTTATTTATATATCTATTTTATTTTTTTATTTATATATCTATTTTATTTTTTACTTATTTTATTTGTATTGCTGTAAGTTAAAAAAAGAGGAGGTTTCTTTATAGAGAAGCTTTTAAATTGGATATTTTTATTTTAAAAATTTAAATGAAATTGTTATTTTATTTATTTATTATTTTTAATATTTTACTATTTATTTTTTTATTTTATTTCCATTTTTTATATTTTTTCAGCCTAAGGCTGAAAGCATAAATGCCACAAAATGGTCAAAATTTTGCTGAAAATTACTTTCGAAATATAATCTTGAAAGATGGGACTTATCGGCCCACGTTTTCTAGTACCTCCCCCATAAAGTGTCAAAAGTTTGAATATTTTTTAATTTAATATCAAGCGGATGCAATGTCCGATTTGATCCAAATATTGTAAATCATAATTTTTTAACAAAACCTTGATCATGTTCGAAAATGGGACCCATCGGACCATCCCTTCTGGTACCTTCCCCGCAAAGTGTAAAAATCTTACAAATTTGTTAATCCATTACGAAAAGCGAATGCAATGTCCAATTTTATCCAAACTTTGTAAATCGTAATATTTTTACCAAACCTAGATCATGTCCGAAGATGGGACCCATTGGACCACCCCTTTTGGCACCTTCCATGGTGTATCTATAAATAGAACCTTATATTATCACAATTCCTCTACACAGGTTTCAATTTCATAATCATCAATAGAAAATAAAAACTGGGTCTATGATTTCAATTTTCTGTATACACATATACAACATATGTATGTATTTGTATGTATGCATTATTGATACAATAAGCAATCAATATTTACGACGACAATCAGCGATAAGGCAAGGCAAGTAGAGGCATATTAAATACTCGGGGCTACAACAACACACCCGTACAAATAAAATCCACAACCGGCACACTAAGGACATGACATTAAACAGTTAATACTACCCAAATCACCATTATCATTTTGTCTACCCCTTACCACCTAGAGTTGTTGTTGTTGCTGTTTCATATCAGGGGGATGATGGAAGAAGAAATGTGGTGGTTAAATGTTGTACGTGGTGAAAATAGAAAGCCATCGATGGCGGACGACCATACACACCGAGTGTATGTATACGAGGTGATGTTATACTTAATTGTACAGTCCCACGTACCTATCTGGATAGTATAATTAAATGGTAAATGTTAGGCATCAGTGTTCTCTTTGGGTATTTTTTGTTTAAATCAGATCTTCAGGCAAAGAAATGTAATTTTTATTATATTCATTTTAATTCAACTAATCCGGTATTTAAATACCAATACCGACCATTATTATAATTTTAAAACCATTTAGTACTTACGTTCTCTTATAGTACCTATTTCCAAAACTACCTCAATATCTTAACACTACACACCAATTCTGACCGCAACAGAAATCTAGATCTATGCCTAAATTTGGTATCAGATATTACCCACTTTGTACTCTTGTAATACCTATTTCGAAAAAAGAATCAAATTTCAAATATAGTTTCACCCAAATCCATATTTAATCTAATTCTAATTTAATTTGTATAAAAATTAGTACAATTTAGTACACATAATTAAAAATTTCCCTTATTACCTACATCATGCATTCCAATGTAAATCTTATTATCCAGAATTGCAGCAGTATCGGATTTCTCTTAATCCAAATTTGGTACCAAATTTAGTACACATTAGTACGAAATTTAGTACCATTTAGTATCCAATTTCTGGATTCCTACTCTATCGATTCAAATTTGGTACCAATTTTACTATACATTAGTACGAATTTCCAAAACATTCTATAAAACCCAATCCCACATACTCCAACAAAGAACCTAACCCCAAATTTCAGGATCCCAGCTTTGTCTGTTCACCCAAATTCAAGTTGTACCAAATTTAGTACACATCTGTACGAATTTCCAAAACCTTCTACAAAACCCAATCCTACACCTCAACGGTGATCCTAACATCAAATTTCCAGATTCCAGCTGCATCGGTTCATCCAAATTCAAATTTGGTACCAAATTTAGTACCCATAAGTATGAATTTCCAAATCTTTTTTGGGTAGCCCTATCGTACATCCTAACAATGATCCTAACATCAAATTTCAAGATTCAAGTTCTATCGGTTCACGCAAATCGAAATTTCCAAAACATTCTACAAAGCCCAATCCTACACCCCAACAGTGATCCTAACATCAAATTTCATGTTTCCAGCTCTATCGATTTACTCTTAATCCATATTTGGTACCAAATTTAGAACCAATAATGTTAATTTCAGAATTCCAGCTCCATTTGTAGCACCAATTAAAAATTGTACAAAATATAGTACCATATTGTACTTTTCGTATACATGAGTACACGCTTTCAAAATCACATCCTCATTATATCGACCCTACTTCTCAACATTAATTCGCATTCCAAGTTTTTAGCTCTATCCATTCACACGCTATGAAATTGTACAAAATTTAGTACATCTTAGTACTTTGGAATATCATTTGGTACTTTTCGTACCATTCAAGTATGAATTTCCAAAAACCCAGCTTTATCTCTCTCCTTTGGTCCTACATACCCCAATCCGACACCCCAACAAAGTTCCCAACTTCTAATTTCAGGATTTCAGCTCTATCGGAGTTCGCCCAAATCGAAATTTGGTACCAAATTTAGTACCCATAATTACAAAAATGTCTTAAACTGGATCCATACCCCAATTTTATACTCCAATAGTAATCTTATTTCCAAATTTCACTGTTCCAGCTTTATCGGGTTTCGTCCAAATCCAAATTGTACCAAATTTAGTACAATTTAATACTTTTCGTACACATATGTACAAATTTCTAAAACTACGTACATATTCTAATCCTAAACTCCGACGGTATTGGTAATTTCAGGATTCCAGCTCTATTTGTAGCACCAATTAAAAATTGTATCAAATATAGTACCATATAGTAATTTTCGTATACACGATGAGTTCACGTTTTCAAAACCACCACCTCATTATATCGACCCTACTTCTCAGCCTTAATTCGCATTCCACATTTCAAGTTTTTAGCTTTATCCATTATTCACACGCTACGAAATTCTACAAAATTCAGTACATTTTAGTACTTTGGAAAAATCTTTGCTATATCTATTTTACACTCTACATTTCGTACGAATTTCCAAACACCCAGCCTTATCTCTCACCTTTGGCCCAAGAGTGGTCCCTCACCCAAAATTTCAATATTCTAGCTTCAGCCGTTTCGCCTGGTCGTAGATGAATCGTTAAGTTAGTCAGTCAGACAGACAGACGTATAGATGCTCGACAATAGTACATATGTATGTACATACAATTTTTACAACCACTGCTAAAAATTTGCACACATTGCGCACAACAAAACCGAAACGACGAACCAACGAACAACACGACCATCTGCTGCCACAATCGTTGTCGTTGCCGTCGTGCAACCTACATTTTTTGGAAACCCATAAAATAAAGGGATATTTTTTCAATATTGGTTTCAAGAACGTGGAAAAAAAGTACAGTTTTAGTGGGAAAAAATATAAACACACAGAACTGTGGAAGGTTTTATTCATGAACACAGCTGTCGTCGTCGTTTTGTGCATGTGTGTCCGTCGTGTGCGTCCGTTCGCTGTCTATGCTTTCCTTTCCGAACAACATAAAAACACTTTTATAGGGTGACTAGCAGCTAGTAAAAGCATAGCATTTATTTAGAACATTTAGCAGCAGGCCGCATAAAGGTCAGGTAAAAGGCGTTTGATATAACCGAAGTACATTAGGCTGCTTGGTTGTCGTAACGAAGGTCATAACGAAGACGAAGAAACCGAATAGGACATTTATATGAAAATGGTTGTACAGTAGGTGCGTGAGTGAGTGCGTGTTTTCACATGAAACACACTCATCAACATGATATCAGTGGAAAAGGACACTTCAACGCCCACAAAATTATTTTGTGTTGAAATGAACGGACGGACTATGAACTAATCCATTTATGTTTATTCGAACTGTACTTGTGTATTTTATACATTGTATTGATTCGGTTCAATTTTTAAGTATCGAGTTTTGGAGTTTTGGAATAAACAAGACAAATAAATTAAGATATTTTTATGTATACTCAATAATTCCTAGAAGGGACAAGTATGTTTTACCTTCAATGGCAATCAAGGTCAGTTCGATGGAAATTACTTACAAATTTGTGTACCCACGCCTTACAAAGCGGTCAACCCATTTTAGATATGTTAAAGGTCTTAAAAGCATTTTCCCAACGAAAAAGTTCTAAATTTTGTTTCTGGCCTATAAAAAAGAAAAAAAAAACAGTAAGGGGAAGTAGTAAAGTCGGACTGGGCCGAGTACATGATACCCTTCACCACCACTATGGGTATATTATACATACGTATCCTAACATACCTCGCCTTTTCGAAAGGAACATTGGCATGAAATTAAACGAACTTAAATATGCGATTTGTATTTATAAGTAAATCAACTAACATCAATCCCAACACATGCCATTCTGTAACTTCTGGACCGATTTCAAGAAAAGTTGACACAGTAGAGGTTATAGTAACTTCAGTAGATTGTACTGAATTTTCACGAAACTTAGCACACATCAGTCTCGATATAATTCAGTGCGCTATACCAAAATTCCTGCAAATCGAAATATATATATGGACTTTGGTGCCTCATATACCTCACATCGGACTGAAATATATATGGGAGCTATATCTAAATCTGACCCGATTTTCTCGAAACTTGACACACGTCATTCTAGACACAATTCAGTACACTATGCACAATTTCGTGCAAATTGAAAGATATATAGGGACTTTGGTGAACCATTTACATAAAATCGAACGAAACTATATACAGGAGCTATATATAAATCTGATCCGATTTTCTTCAATTTCAATAGGGTTCGTCCTTGAGCCAATTAAGTGAATTGCACCAAACTTCATCAACGTCCCAAAATTTGAAATTGATTTGGTTGTTAGTTTTTGAGTTATTGTGCCGTTTGGAGAAAAATGCGGGACCTGTGCAGGGGTTTACTGTAAGGAACTAGCTATAAATAATTCTTTACGAATATTGAACCTCCCTCTGCCAGACTGAGTTAGTCAAAGAACTTATTAAAAATGACTTAGAACTGATATCTGTATAAGTCGGCAACATCTCTATCTGTAAGACAATCAAGACGCTTACTATAAAAACCGATTACTGTCTGTAACTTTACCGTGAAATAAACGGAAATGAAATTGGATCTGCTGATCACTCTCAGTCTTGGTTCATGGCAGAGCATAGTGGGTTTAACTTAAACTTAAAACCCCATTCTCGGTGTCAAAAAATTTAATTTAGTTGACCTTCTGTGGAAAGGTACCAGAAGATAGAAATATGTATATGTTGAAATGTTTGTGGTTAGAGGTAAAAGAAGCAGTGGTCAAATTGGTCCCATCTTTGACTCTGATATAGGAATTTATGTTGACACTTTGTGGGGGAGGTACCACAAAGAGTGGACATATCGTAATGGTTCCCATTACGATGTGTAAACTTTAATTGGATTGGATTTATAAAAATTTAACATTTTTATTCTATGTGGGGAAGGTACTGGAAAGAGCGGACCGAAAGGTACTGGAAAGAGTGAATCACGAAAAAATATAACATTCATGAGGGAAAACCATATTTCCCGAGATATTTAACTCTGAGGTTCAGGAATTCATATGCTCATAACTATGACATTTATGGACCGATTATGGTAATATTGGCGGATAATTAGAGAAAAATGTTTATTTAAAAGAAAATTTCGATCGCATAGCCAAATTTTCCATCTGTTCATAGGAGAAAGTCTTAAATCCCCAGCGGAAGGCCGCCTATATAAGAACAAAATTGATATAAAGGAAATTTTAATCGCGTCGCCAAATTGTCCATAGAAGAATGTTGTAATGTTGTAGCCGAAGGCCTGCTATTTAGCAAACATTAGTTTAAAAAATTATGCGTTAGCTGAATTTTCCGTCTGTACATAGGAGAAAGTCTTAAATCCCCGGCCGAAAACAGGCTATTTAGATAAAAATTAGTTAAAAAAAAATGTTTGATGCGTTAACCGAATTTTCCGCCTGTCCACAGGAGAAAGTCTGAAATCCCCGGCCGAAGGCCGTCTATTTTTGATAATTTTTAATTAAACAAATTTAAGTGAAAATATAATGTGTACGCTTTACATCATTGATCCGTAAATAAGGAAGTTATAAGCATAGGAATTTGGGAACTTCAGAGGTCCATATTATGGACTTCCCCCATGAAAGTCATATATTTTCGTGATCAGGGAGACGAGACATACCTGAACCTGAGAAAAATCCGAGATGAACCCCTAAACTCAACTTGTTCCTCCATTTTCCTGAGATTTTCTTCTTCTAAATAGGAGTAGGTGTGGGTGGCTAACCGAGTATTAAGAACTTTCTCCTATGGACATATGCCAACACCGGCTACATAACAGAATCTGCTCTGTATAAAGATTATGTACCATTACATTTAGTTTCTAATCAATGTCTTTAACCTTTAAAATTATAATGGAGCGCCATATCTCAGGAAGTATGGATATCTTCTATAATGAAAATTCATTTGTAAAATTCATGAGGTTCCGAGCGGAACTTTTGGACCCATATATACGGAAATACTGATTTCCCAAGCAATGTGTGTGGTGAACATTTGAAAACGGACTTAAGTACAGCCATTTATGAAATCGATTCAGCGACATTGAAACCTGGATTGAGTCGAACACCATTACGCAAAATATACAGTTTTTCATAAAAAAAATGTACCAGGGTTATTTGCAGAATATTCTGATTGACCTGTAAAACGTAACGAGCTGATACAAAAGCAATCCTTAAGAAAAATATGCCAATATCATAACCCGAATGGCACTTGAATGAAATCCCCAACGATCACGAAGTCGAGGTTGACCAAGAAACACCTGGTCGACGAACTATAACGCAAGAACTAGGACAAACCTTAAATGGAAGATGCAAAAACAACTTAGTATGATGGCGATGCGAAGCCATATGCCCATAAAGAATAACAGGAACAATATGTCAAGAATCAGCGATTGACAGCAAATTATTTCTCTTTGGCGGCTTATTATAAATTTATAAAAATACATATGTACATACAACACCAATAAGAAAATATTTTGCACATTTTTACTCACATTTATTGTATTTCTTTCATCCCCTCCCGCTGTATCTGCAACATTCATTTTTAATCTTGTTTTTATTGCACGTGTTTTTCTAATTTCCTATTTCAATAATTATATATTGAATAAAAAATGTACATATTAATTTCTTTTTGTTTTTATGAAGTAACGCGTACAACGATTTTATTGCGAAATTCATTCAATTACAAACTGAACACAGCCAAAAGAAACAATCTGTGTTCAATATGTCTTGCCATGACATGTGAGTTCTTTTCTTATTAGATTTTTTTTTAAACAATTAATATGATTTATTTTATTTTTAATTAACTTTTATAATAAATTTTAATGCAAAATATTTTTAGTAATACAAAAATCCTGATATTATTTAATTATGGAAACGTTTACCAAAGGAACTAACTAAAATTATTACCCAAAACTAGTTCCCGTCGTTCATTTCACTGAAACATTTACTTTCACAACTAGTTCAATCTGGGAACCATAGTAAGAGTACTTCACATCATTCGATCCATATAAAAAACAATGGATAAAGATTCTGATAGCACGGTCACATCGTTGGACGAGAATACCGAGAATTTTTGCAGTAATCAGACCCGAGACATCCTTGCCGAAGGCATTCTTAACCTATTTAAGCCGGTTGTTGAGAAGTTGGATGAACGCATTCAGGCGACAAGGCAGGCCCAACAAGAACTGAAAACACAATTGGATAGTTTGTCAGCCCAATTGAGGGACATTGAAAAGGCTCAACACAACATTCCGGAGTTCTCCGACAAAGTTAAGGAACTGATAAACGTTAAGCATAAGGTCACAGTTATTGCCAATATCCTGATTAGCAGTCAAGAGCGTTTGGCTGGCCTGCACAAGTTAATCGAAAAGGAGCAGAGAAGAAGACAGGCGCTGCTAGACTCAGCCATAAGTACAAATATATCTTAGATGCAATTAAGGCATTCACAAACAAAAGCAATATTCAATCGGGGAACGACAAGAACATGGAGACACCACATATCGACCATTTAACTTCTCAGGATTATGAGCATGTTTATGAACCGGCTGAAGATTCGTTTTTATTATTGGACGCCCTCGAAGCAGATTTGGAGTTTATAGAAAATGATTTGAAACCTTTGGTATGCTTGGAAATTGGACCTGGAAGTGGCATTGTAATAACCGCCATAGCAAAACGTTTGCCCCACTCTCTATGCATGGCCTGTGATATAAATCCATATGCTTGTCGTGTAACAAAACGGACTTGCACAAGAAATGACACCCATGTTGAATGTGTACAGGGAAATTTGACCGATGCCTTTAAGTCGAACACTATCGATTTGTTGATCTTTAATCCACCATATGTGGTAACGGCAGATCATGAAATTGAATTGCCGGATAAATTTGGCCAATGTACAAGTGATAATCTTGTACATTCTTGGGCTGGTGGTGAACATGGTAGACGTATTATTGACATTTTATTACCGCAACTAAACGACGTACTATCGCCGAAAGGTGTTTTCTATTTATTACTGCTGCGTGAAAATAAACCTGACGAAATAATCGAACAGTTGACACTATTCGGATTTCAAAGTAAGAAATTCATGGAGAGACGCATACCAGGAGAATATTTGTATATTTTGAAAGTACAACGTTCGAATTCATAGTGTATATTTTTCTGTTTAAATTTAAAGTTAATAAATAAATATTTTTAAATTGCCACATTTTGTAGTGCATGATTTTGTAAAGTCGTCGAATATAAAGCCGCATTCGACAGCCCTATCCGTTCTCAGGGTTCTTGAAGATATGTCTTTGTTCGATATTCCTGCAAAATTAAAACGGCTATGCAAGTTAACTTGAACTAGTACAAGGTCAGCAGTTAATGTCGGAAAGGACCTCTCGGAGCTCTCTAATACCAAACGAGAATTCAGACAAGGTGACACATTGTCGTGTGATCTTCTTAACATCCTGCTGGAATAGGTCATAGGAGAGGCAAAGGTGAACAGAAATGGCACTATTTACACCAAACAACACATCGGCCTACGCCGATGACATCGACATAATGAGTCGGATATTGCGAGCGGTAACAGCCACATTTAAACAAATTGAGAATGATCTGCCAAAGTGGGTCTGGTAGTAAATGCGGAGAAAACCAAGGTGATGATATCAGCGCGCAAGACGTCCAGTAGACTCGGAATTGTGCCATCTAATAATCTCGTAGAAGGGGAAAGCCACGAATTCGTTGGAAAGATCAAGTGCAGCGTTGCCAACCATGTGAAATATTATAAAGAACCATTTGACATATGGTCGAGACAAAAACAAAGGTTTTGTGACCGTCCATCCGAACGACCTTATTATTGGACCATTGTTTTTACTTCAATTCGACATGCAATGTTGCCAACCGTGAGAAATGTTACTAGATTAAATGTGACAAATGCTTCTAGATGCTTAGGTCTGGAAATATACAATTTTTTTGCAATATATCATATTTACATATGCGGCTGAAATTGCTATTTCCAAAGATCCGCTTTTTAAACCTCTACCTAATTTTGAACGATTCGAACTTATTTCAACTGAATTACCAACCTCTTTTTTTGCTTCCGAATTTGTATGCTTGCCCAGCCCCTTTAGATGATGACACCGCAACAAATCGATTGATTTTGCGAAAACAAAAAAAAATCGATAAACCGCTTTATCGAAAATATTTTTATCCCTAGAGAGAAGAACAAGACTGAACACTGACAGCTACCAGCTAATAAACGACAAGTTCCAGAACGAGAAAATTATTTTAAAACCCCCTGTTTTATTTTTGCAAAATTTTGTGTGTAAAATATATATGTAGAAATTAAAAACCGACAACATAGATTTGTATCACATCAGAAACGTAAACCAGAAGTTATGATGGAGACAGCGCCCACCGCTGATTTAGTTTATCAGGGAATATGTACACTTTACCACAATCAGAATCCCAAAGAAAAGGAAAAGGCCAACAAATGGCTGGAAGAATTTCGAAAATCGGTAAGTTTTAAATGGACTTTAAGGAATTTGGGAAGTAAATTAAAATATGATCTATTTATTGGGTAGATTTACTCCTGGACAATAGCTGATGAATTGCTGCAACAAAAACGGGACATGCCTTCGTGTTATTTTGCGGCCCAGACAATGCGCAACAAAATACAAAATTCATTCAATGAATTGCCAATGAATTCACACGAATCGCTGAGGGATTCTTTGATTGCACACGTAGGACAAATCACCAACGAGACGGATTCAATTATTGTGACACAATTGTGCTTGGCCGTGGCGGATTTGGCCCTGCTGATGGCATCGTGGAAACAACCGATTATAGATTTATTGGATATGCTTTCACCACAACCTCAATCCGTGTGGCCACTGCTGGAAATTTTAACCTTACTACCGGAGGAAATAGACTCACGATATTTACGCCTGGGGGCAAATCGTCGTGAAGAAATCCACAAACAATTGGATGCGGCAGCCCCCAAAGTTATGGACTTCCTTTGTGTGTGTATGCAGCAACAGCAACATGCAGGTGGTGAAAGTGTGGCACATGAGAAAATTATTAACTCAATACTGCGCTGTTATTGTTCATGGGTGGCCATTCAGGCTATACCCCTACAACAGGCAGCACAAAATCCCTTAACTCAACAAGTCTTTCAGTTACTTAGCATTGAGAATACATCCAGAAAACTACACGATTCGTCCACGGAATGTCTGTGTGCTCTCCTGAGTTGTATGGAGGCGAACAGTGGTCGTGATACCCTGGATCCTCAACTTAAAATGCAAATTTTTAATGCCGTCTTTATGCTGGAGACAGCCTATCACACATGCGTCGGCATGGAAGATATCGATAAAATTATGAATTTTTGCCGCATCTTCACCGTGCTGTGTGAGGCATTTTTCTATGAAATGTTTGCCAACGAAGATATACCTCATTACTCTATTAAGGGATTGGATTTAGTGCTCATATGTGTGGGACACTACGACTACGAAGTGGCGGAGATAACCTTTAATCTTTGGTATCGTTTGAGTGAGGAGCTGTTCCAGCGTAATAACGATAAACTGACATCGCATTTTAAACCGCACATAGAACGATTGCTGGGTGCTCTGTATCGTCTAACACAAATGGAACCTGATCAGGAGGGATTAATCGATGAGAACGACAGTTTTAATGTGAGTGTGGTGGTGTAGTTTTAATTTAGTTAAAGAAGAGGTTACTAATATGTTTCTTATTTGTATAGGATTTTCGACGAAAGGTTTCCGATTTAATAAAGGATGTTGCATTTATTGTTGGCTCTGGCAACTGTTTCAAACAGATGTTTTACAAACTACAAGAGCCTGGCTGTACATGGGAATCAACGGAATCGGCATTGTTTATCATGCAAAATGTAGCCAAAAATATAATACCGTAAGTAAACACACAACTCCAATTCCTTGCAGAGATATAAATAATAAGAACACTTCTCTTTTTTCAGTGATGAAAACGAAGTCATACCCAAGGTTGTGGAGGCAATTTTAAATCTTCCCGAAAATACCCACATAGCTGTACGCTACACCTCAATTATGTTACTGGGCGAGCTATGCGATTGGATCGAAAATCATGCTGAGAGTTTACAGGCTGTCTTGAATTTTCTTTTGTATTCGTTGCAACAGAAAAATGGTTTGGCGGCCGCAGCGGCAATTGCCTTAACCTCCATCTGTGCATCGTGTCGCCAAAAAATGATCTACCACATAAGTGGCCTAGTGGAAATAGCGAGAAGTTTAGATAGCTTTGAAATTAGTAATGATTTGGCCATTGGCCTGCTAAAAGGCATATCATTAATTTTATCCCGTCTACCAAAACAACAGCTGGAAACGGCAATGCGTGAAATCATATCGTTCCAGCTGCAGCCATTGGCCATAATGGTGGAGAGCACGGCAACAGCGCCCATCTGTAAGGGAGAACGTACAGATCCTGCCTATTGGGTTGATCGAGCCTGTGCTGTAATACGTCACACAAATCCCGATGTTAGCGACAATGAAATACATCCCACACTGAATATACTCACAGAAGCATGGCCACTGATATCCCGGGTAATGGATAAATATCAGGCCGATGTACGTGTTATGGAACGTACATGCCGCCTTATACGCTACAGTGTACGTATGGTGCGCAAGCAAGCCTCAATGCTAGTTGAACCGCTTATCCATCAAATGGTCACACTGTATGCTCTACATCATCACAGTTGCTTCCTGTATTTGGGCTCCGTGCTCGTGGATGAATTTGCCAAGGTCGATGATTGCATAAATGTGCTGCTGGTAATGTTGAAATCGTTTATCGAACCCACCTTTAAAATGTTACAAGTGGAGAATGGCTTGAAAAATAATCCCGATACTGTGGATGACTTTTTCCGCCTGTGCTCCAGGTTTATTGACTGCTGTCCATTGCCATTTTTGCAAAGTGCATTGGTAACACCGATATTTCAATGTGCCCTGTTGGCATGTACCTTGGATCATCGTGAAGCCAATTCATCGGTTATGAAATTCTTTTGTAATCTCCTGAAATGGGGACGTAGCAACAATTATAAATTGCTGGAATGTAAACCGTTGGTTCGTGAAATAGCCGAACAAAATGGTGAAGCTTTAGTTATAAATCTGATACAAGCTTCAGTGTTTTGTTTGCACTCGTATATGTTACCCGATGTTGCTGAAGTACTGACCGAACTGAAGGATGTCATCACACACGAACAAATGGAGGCTTTCCTGAAGGTTGCTCTGCAAAGTTTGCCAAAGAAAAATAGTGGAGGATATGTTACGGCAACTGATGAACAATTGCTGGATTTTCAAGAAGCTGTTATGAAGTAAGTAGAGATAAAATGTGGATTTTTTTTGGATAAAAGGGAGATTTTTTTCACGTGTGAGTGAGTTACTCAAAGATCATCGCCAAGACGAAACTGCTGAACCTTCCCAATAGTAGGCGTGGATTTTTTAAAGAATTTTTCTAAGGAAGCTTCCCAACAATAGGCGTGGATTTTTAAAAGATTTTCACTAAGGAACCTTCCCAACAATAGGCGTGGATTTTTTAAAGATTTTCACTAAGGAACCTTCCCAACAATAGGCGTGAATTTTTTAAAGATTTTCACTAAGGAACCTTCCCAACAATAGGCGTGGATTTTTTAAAGATTTTCACTAAGGAACCTTCCCAACAATAGGCGTGGATTTTTTAAAGATTTTCACTAAGGAACCGTACCAACAATAGGCGTGGATTTTTTAAAGATTTTCACTAAGGAACCTTCCCAACAATAGGCGTGGATTTTTTAAAGATTTTCACTAAGAAACCTTCCCAACAATAGGCGTGGATTTTTTAAAGATTTTCACTAAGGACCCTTCCCAACAATAGGCGTGGATTTTTTAAAGATTTTCACTAAGGAACCTTCCCAACAATAGGCGTGGATTTTTTAAAGATTTTCACTAAGGAACCTTCCCAACAATAGGCGTGGATTTTTTAAAGATTTTCACTAAGGAACCTTCCCAACAATAGGCGTGGATTTTTTAAAGATTTTCACTAAGGAACCTTCCCAACAATAGGCGTGGATTTTTTAAAGATTTTCACTAAGGAACCTTCCCAACAATAGGAGTGGATTTTTTAAAGATTTTCACTAAGGAACCTTCCCAACAATAGGCGTGGATTTTTTAAAGATTTTCACTAAGGAACCTTCCCAACAATAGGCGTGGATTTTTTAAAGATTTTCACTAAGGAACCTTACCAACAATAGGCGTGGATTTTTTAAAGATTTTCACTAAGGAACCTTACCAACAATAGGCGTGGATTTTTTAAAGATTTTCACTAAGGAACCTTACCAACAATAGGCGTGGATTTTTTAAAGATTTTCACTAAGGAACCTTACCAACAATAGGCGTGGATTTTTTAAAGATTTTCACTAAGGAACCTTCCCAACAATAGGCGTGGATTTTTTAAAGGTTTTCACTAAGGAACCTTCCCAACAATAGGCGTGGATTTTTTAAAGATTTTCACTAAGGAACCTTCCCAACAATAGGCGTGGATTTTTTAAAGATTTTCACTAAGGAACCTTACCAACAATAGGCGTGGATTTTTTAAAGATTTTCACTAAGGAACCTTCCCAACAATAAGCGTGGATTTTTTGGGAAGGTTCCTTAGTGGATTTATTAAAGATTTTCACTAAGGAACTTCCCAACAATAAGCGTGGATTTTTTGGGAAGGTTCCTTAGTGGATTTTTTAAAGATTTTCACTAAGGAACTTCCCAACAATAAGCGTGGATTTTTTGGGAAGGTTCCTTAGTGGATTTTTTAAAGATTTTCACTAAGGAACCTTCCCAAAGTCTAGCTAATTCGTCTGCTCTTTCATTATCCATGATATCACTGTAAGTTCTTCAAAAGTTGTTCTAGACTTGAGGGCGGCCTCAGATTTGATGGTTTTAAGAGCCGCTTGATTATCCACAAAAAAAAGTCACCGGTTCAACGATCTCTGCATCCAGACTTTTTATCAATTCCGCTGTCTTCCAAATCGCGAAGATTTCAGCTTGGAAAACACTACAGTTGATATCCAGCTTGTAGGTTAACTCAAGGCCTAGCCTTTCACAGTCGACGCCTGCAATAACGAAATCTACATCGTCAAAATTCAGGACTGGTGATATATAGTCGCTTAGTTTTACGCGTTGGTCCAATGTCATACCAGGTTCGTTCAAGATACAACCATGTCCAAAGGACTTACAACTTCGTCAAAGATTTTTTCATGTTGCCTTAGGGCACTACGTGCGGCCTGGCAATGCTGAGGACCAGATGCCTTAAGTTCAGCATTGCGTTCAGAGCTGCTTGTTGGGTGTTCCTCATGGTTCCTGTTATTAGAATCAAGTTTGCTGGACGTTGTCTTGTGGCGCAGGTAGTTCCACCAAACAAGAGAATCATAGGAAAGGATGGGCCTTACGACGATTTATACAATGGAATTTTTGTATGCATAGTGTGCAATCAGCCCTCTCTTCGCCCGTTCCTCAGCGTTCCTGTTCCATCGTAATTGACAGTCCAGAATTGTGCCAGATACTTTGCTTCGGGTGATAGATAAAGTTGCACTCCATACAGTGTCCGCATAAGCTACGATTTTGATACCTTTTCCGTCCAATTCCATCAGTATGTTGTTAAATACAGATCGGCCTATACATATTTCGGATAAATTCCAAGTGCTGTCTCATATGCTTGCGTAAGTACCCATGCTTCAGATGCATATAAAAGTACGGGTAGTATGTGCGTCTTGTAGAGTGTGAGTTTGGTCTGGCGGGAAGTTTCTAAACTTACATAGACCATAGTAGCATCTGTCCTTCTTCGAATTTCAAAAGTGGTGCTATTCGTTTTATTTATGACGGTACCATGGTAAATAAAATCTTTGACTATCTCGAATCTGTAGTTTTCAAATTCCACAATTGGTCCGAATCTACTGGACGTCTTGCTCGTTGATACCATCAGCATCATATTCTCCCCATTTACTGCCAGACCAACTTTGACAGACTCTTTCTCAATTTGTTCAAAGGTGGCTGTTACCACTCGCATTGTTCGAACCATTATATCGTTGTCGTCAGCGTAGGCGAGTAGAATGTGTTGTTTGGTATACAGAGTACCATTTCTGTTCACATTTGCATCTCGTATGACCTTTTCCAGCAGGATGTTAAAAAGCTCACACAACAAATTGTCACCTTGTCTCAATCCTCGTTCGGTATTAAATTTATTTCCTTTCCACATATGAAGTAAATGGCACTTCGATAGTTTTCTTATATATATAAATAATTACCTAAAATTTATTTATAATTTCTTTCTTTTTTTCTATTTTTTTTTTTCAGATCAACAACCACGAAATCTGTAACATTGGCTCTAAAAACCTTTACACGGTTATATCGTTAAACAAATCAACATTGTTTTGGAACAAAATTATGAATATGTGTTTCGCAAACGGAAATATTTTTCTCACTACAACTGTGTACACTACAAAATTATTTTTTTGGAAAATATAAAATCGGAACAGAAAACAAACATCATAAAAAAACAAAAAAAAACAAGCTACTCATTCATTTCTAAATAGTAATTTATATTATATATTTTTTGTAAATGTTTAGTTTATACTCAATCTTTTTAATTAACTACTTTTTTTTAACAAAATGTGTAATTTGTTAAATTTAAAAAATACATATTTTATATATTACTTTCTTTGTTTTAAGGAATCCAAACAAACCAACCAACTAACGTCAAAGTAAAAGTAAATACGTTTATATTTATAAGTAATGGCTATTTTTGAAAAAAAAGAAGAAGAAGAAGTGTTTTTTAAAAACAAATGGAAATGCATAACTATTTTGAAATAGGGTGTGCATACGTGTGTGTTGCAAAACAAAATCCTGCAACATTTTATAAAAATACAACAATAGAACGAAAAAAGAAAATGTTTTGAAGCAATTATAAATACAGACCCCTGCCCCCTCCCCCTTGATTATAAAATATTTAGTTTTTAAATAATAAAAAATAAATAGAAAAATTACATGGAAACTTGATAAATTAATGTGTTAATAAATTGGCCTAAAATGAAAAAAAATAAACTATAACGATAGACAGTGACAAATGTTACAAGAGCACATTAATTAATTGTTTTTTCTTTAATCATTTTAAAAAATTAAAACATACAGAACTTGTATGTGGAAATATAATAAAAAAAGAAGAAGAAATTGAAACAAATTTGTTTATAGACTGTGCGGTATTTTGTTAATATTTTATTGCCATATTAATTTGTTGTTGTTATACATAAAGCATTGAGTATTGGGTGTTTTTACTGAAAACATTTTTGAAATGCCTGTGCTTAGCAATGAAATTAACGTTGACCAGTTGTTGCTGCTGCCGCTGCTGCTTGGGCTGCCGACATTGGTGGTTTTATACCCATCAGCTCACACAATTGATTGCGTATGGGTCTAACCTCTACCAATGGCATACCCCAATCTGTTTCCGATAGTAAATTTAAAATCTCATCCATATTCTCTTCACTGATTTCACAAATATCTCCGTGCAGGGCCAATGCCTCATATAGTTTGGTGGCAGTTGTTTTACGTATATGAACATGGGTTAGACCAAGAAATACTGACATTTTGGAGAGTACCTTTTTGCATAGCCGTGGCACTTGTACCAATTGTGAGTAGACATTTATACTGGATACCAATTTGTAGAGTTTTTTGTGACCTTTAATTTCCAAATTCAGCAAACGATAAATGTCTTCGGCAAATGTTGATGAGTCATCCAAGAGAATGGAATTAATGGAACCTAGAAAAAAATTAGAGGAAATGTTATGGGAGAAAAAAAAGGAGTAGAAGCGTATACTTTTTTTATCAAAAAAAGTGAACCTATCTAAAAAAGAGGTGCCTGATCGGCAATTTGGCTACCAAATCGAAAAACTGTATATAAAAGTATTACATTTCTTTTTAAAACTGCTCTAAAAAATCTTAAAATATCAAAAATTGGCGAAACGTTCCATGGGTCTAATTAAAATAAAATTAATTTATTTAGCCTTGAAAAAATATTGAAAAAATCCACTCTTCTAATAGGCCTTGAATTTTCGTCATCAATGCATTTCATTACCCCTGATGTCACGGTGCCATGGTACCCAACACAGCCGATAGCTGTAAGTAAGTTCTTCCAAAACTGTTCTACACTTGAGGACGGCCTTAAATTTGATGTAACTGGATTTGATGTCTTTAAGAGCCGCTTAACTATCCACAAAGATAGTCACCGGTTCAACGATCTCTGCATCCACACTTTTTATCAATTCCGCTGCCTTCCAAATCGCGAAGATTTCAGCTTGGAAAACACTACAGTTGCTATCCAGCTTGTGGGTTAACTCAAGGCCTAGGCTTTCACAGTAGACGCCAGAGGAGTGAACCACGTGAAACAGGAAGACCGCTAACCACCCCCGATGCAAAACATCACCAGTCAGCATGCTCTTCGCTACCCGGTGCAACCGACCGAGCCCACCTGCAAGGGGGATATGCACGAGGACCGCCTGCACTAAGTGCTATCTTCGTCCTAAATGCTTCAAACCCCATTTTTCTTATGCTTACCTGATGCAATAACAATATCCAAAAAATTCAACATTGGATATGTGACACGTTCCTTCAGTAGATTCTCTTCAAAATTCAGCACAATTTCCCGGCACAATCGTTCAATGTGTCCAGTGTGAGATCGTAAAAATTGGAATAATGCTCCTGAGGCATATTTAATCAGAGATTCAGTCAATTGGCCAATACTTGCACTAAGACCCAATAATATACGTCGAGAATATTCAGGAAATTCGAGCAGTGAACAAAACAAGGGGAATGTATGATCGGCAAATAACCATAAAACTGAATTGACATCTTCGGGAAATATTTCTTTTAATTTCGCATGATGATGTATGTGTGGAACGGCAGGATCTAAATGTATCATTTGGCAAAGTAAACGGCCAGCTAACCCACGGGTGCGATCAATTTTTTCGACAGCCTGTTGCATGAAGCCCACAACAATTTGATGGATTTGCTGGGGTTGTAAAATGTCTTTGGGGCAGATTTTTATCAATTCGAAAATGGCTGGAAAAAATAGAGATTAAATTATTTTTTTTTTAATTAGTAAGGGTATGTTCTCGTACTATAATAATCTACAAATTTTTAATATTTTTTGTCTATATCATAATGGACAAATTGTATATTCTTATAGTAATATCTTGATTTTTTAAGCTAGTAGTAAATTATTCTCATACCACTCATAGCTGCTTCTCGAACCCAGGCACCAATATCACCACGATTATCCAAAGTATATTCATCCATGGCTTTGAGGTAACAATCAATTACCCTGGTGAGATATTTCAAATTTGCAAATGACACTGAAGAAGAAATATAAATTTAATTTCAAAATTTTAACATTATACAAAAAACAATTTAAATACCCACCCCTGGTATTATTTTCAAAGCCAACATTTTTAACAAGATTACTTAAAGCCTTAACGCTGTCACGACGTGCCTCACTCCAATCCTGAGTGCTTTGAGCTTCTTGCTCCTTAACCGTTTCACCCACACAAATTGCCTGATATGGTGTCAATGAATGTTTGATAAGATTTTCCAAAATATCATCGAACAATGGGGTGACCATGAAAAGGGGTAAGACGCCCAATGCACTCAAATAACCCATGCGTATATTTTCTTCTTGGTCATTGTCGGCACCCTTCAAATAAAACTTGACAATTTCATTATTGGCCACATTTCTATCCGGGGTATTGTAATAGGCATCACAGAGTTTGGAGAAGGCTGTGGTTGCCAGTTCACGAATGGGGGCATTTTTACTCAACAAACATTTGTCAATGACTTCCTGCCAGGATTCTACAAATATTAAGGAAATAATTAATAATAATATATTCTCTACCTTCAAAATTGTCCCTCACCCAAACATTGTCCCGTTGCCGAAACCTTGGCCATACTACAATTACGTATAAAATCTGTGCAGCACTGTTTCATCAGCTCACCACTCATACCACGAAACAGATCTCGTTGTAGGAATTTCCCAATAACTTCATTGACATTCGAAATACTTTGATTGGATAGCAAAGTCTGTTTCGGTTCCGCTTCATCTTCCAATTGCCTTAGGGCCAATACAATTTCTCCAATTGCCAAAACACTACCATGCCTTGTGTTGATGTCTATCGAATCAGTCTTGGCGAACAGTTTATCCAATACAATATCGGCCATATATTCTGGAGCTCTGCGTGTCAATTTATGTAAAGCTTTGGCCGTTAGCTCTCTGATTGCCGTATCCCAATGATTTACTTTACGATCAACTAGATGATCTATCAAAGGCCGACAATATTCCTCAAATTCGGCAATGAAATAGCTTATATTTAAATAGGAATTTTGTCTTAAACCGACTGTGTAGAAATCCGTGGTGGTGGATATTTCAATGCCGTAGGGAAAATTGCCTAGACGGCCAACACTTTCCTGAAAAGCAGCCGAGGCAGCCCGACGACAATTTATTTCACGATCAAAACAAGCCACCGTGAGCAGACCCGCCGACACTTGCTGGGCAAATGGTTTGAAGTCATCTGGATTATAGGATCTGGCAAATGCCCAACACATATAACAAGCTGAGTCACGTATATGTTGTCCCACCGACATGTAGCCTTTCATTTCATCATAAAATAAGGCCTGCAGAAGCAGAGGTACCAATTCCTTCAGGCGATATGGTAACAATAAACCTCTCTTGGCCAATTCAGCCAAAGCCAAACACCCACCATGCCAAGCCTCGTGGGGTTCCAACGGATTCAATATGTCAATAACCGAACCAATCACTTCATCGGCCAATTCTTTCGACAAACGATTGGTAACACGACCAATACCCTTGGCGGCAGACCAACGTATATCATTGCCACCACTACGCAGAGCCTGCAACAGCTCCTCAATGACTTCTTCAATGGAATCGGGCACAGCAATTTCATCTTCTGAACTTTCCTCCTCCATCGCCTGTTGGCCATCTTCCGGTGTACTTTGTGTACTTGTGGTATTTTGCGCTTGCAACAGATTGGAGGCCAAGGAGCGTGTTCCACGCTTATAACGCCATGCTGCAATGCGTGGTTTCAAATAGACCAAACCAATGCGTTGTATAATTTTAATATACGATTTATATTTCAAGAAATCCGAGCCATCCTTATACTGGCAGCTTATTATCCATTGCAGCAGCTTATCGGCATAGGGCAGGAGGTCTTCACGTTTGCCATGTTTCAAAATGGCTGCAATGGCAGCCAACTGGCCAAATTTTATATCCACCGTATCGGATTTGTGTTGTGACATAACCCATTCCAAGAAACGATCTAAATACAGCTCCTTTATGTCGGCTCTTACAAAATATTTGGCTGCCAAATAGGCGGACATGTTGCTGCATGTATCATTTGTGGAGGTGTACAATTTACACAGCTCAAAGATACGTTCCATTTTGGTTTTAGATGGAACACTATTGGTGATCACCTCATTACCAATGCCATCTACATTTACTTGGTAGGCATCTAGACGAGACATATGGAAGGGATTTAGCACCAATATGGACATCCATAGCAGTAGCATGTATCGGGTCTCCCAGTGTTTAAATTCTTTGGGATTTTGTTTCTCCAATAGATCCAAGGCAAATTCCAAGTCACTCAGCTCGTGGGGTAAAAATTTCACCAATACTTTGTAGGTCCGAACTTTACAAATGATATACAAATACTTGAAGGCTGCATGCATTAAGGGTTCCGGCAAGCTGCGGTCACGAATTTTTTGCAATAACTTCTGCAACAACAACTCCAAGTGGGGGTCCAGTAAATGGGGTTGTTCTTGATACCTTTAAATTAAATTTAAATTTATTGATTATTTGCATTGAAGGTCCTTGGAAAAGGCTATATACCTTGACAGAACTTCCGTATATTGCTCAAAGTCCTTCTCAAAACCAGCAGCATCTGTTCCCTGTATGGCATCAATCATTTGCACAACCTGCTCCAATTCGGTAAAATGCTCCAAGGTATTGGATGGACCCTCTTCATCTTTGATTTCATCGCATTGCATCATGTTGCCGGGTTATGGGGAAGAAATTCTCCGAATGGAATTGATTTTTTACTGAAAATTTTTAATTTTCCGCACAGCCGGTTGTAGTTTTTGTATAAATGGGTGTAGGTTGTTTGAAATTTTAAAGAAAAGTTGTTTGAGACGACACAGTGTCTTCGATGAGTAATGTCACTTCGGCTGCTATGCTCTTTTTGTGTGGGGCAGAGTTGCCAACTCGAAGAGAAAATTTAATAAAACTCATACATAGTAGAATAATTTTGTTGGATAGGGGGGCTTCCATGGAATGTAGATTTTTCACTACACAAACAGAAATCTTTCGATTTCCTTAAAAATTACACCAAGAAGTCCTGCGGAATCGAACCTAAAAATGCCTCCTTTTCTTAACCAAAAAAATATCTTCATATCTTGGCAACCCCGATCGATTCAACACAAATCAGCTGTTCTTTTGTTGACTAATTCCTTTTGATTGTGTTCGTCCGTCGTTGTTGTTCGTGGTCTTTTCGCACACAGGAAACGTTTGACGAAACAAATTTGGAAAAGCCCGGAAAACCCACACACACTTTGAGCAACCATGACATTACCTGAATTCTTTGGCTGTTCAATGATAGCTTTTGGTCCACCATTGGCATTGTTCATCTTTACAATAGCCCGGAAACCAATACGTGTTATAATGGTCATCATGGCAGCCTTCTTTTGGTTATTATCTCTGCTGGCATCTTCGCTGTTGTGGTATGCCGTGGTGCCCCTAAGAGGTGTATTGGCATTTGGAGCCGTGTTTTCAGTACTCTTTCAAGAGTATTTCCGTTATTTGCTCTATTTACTGTTGAGGAAATTCGAAGAGGGCCTTGAAGCGGTGGCCGATGATCGCACCCTAGTCGATAACAAACATGTGTTGGCATATGTTTCGGGTTTTGGATTTGGTATTATATCGGCCATGTTCTCTTTGGTCAATGTTTTGGCCGATTTGGTAAGTAACGCAAGATAAATTAACACAAAGCTCGGAATAACATTTTCTCTCTTCTTTTAGACCGGCCCCGGTACCTTGGGTTTAAACGGTGGCTCCGAAAGCTTCTTTATGGTCTCGGCTGCCCAGGCCCTATCCATTTGCCTGCTGCACATCTTTTGGAGTGTCATTTTCTTTAATGCCTTCGATACCACCAATTACATACACATTTCCTATGTGGTGGGTTCGCATTTATTTGTCAGTCTCATTACCCTATTGAATGCCCAGCAACTATATGCAGCCTCGCTGTCAATAAATTTCATTGTGACCGTGGCCACGGCCATCTTGGCATTTACTGTTGCCGGTGGTACGGTGCGGTCATTTAAACGTTTCATAACCTGCCAATAATCTGTAAAGACTTTATATACATTTATTCATCCTATATACCCTTCAATCAACCACAACCACCAACCTGGTCCTCATAACATATACATTCTACAATACTATGTACTCCAAAATTAGTTTTAAGTTGACAAAACCGACAAAAAAAGACATCATCTCTTGTGTACAATTGATAATTATTATATATTTGTATTTAATTCCTAGTATATTATTTTTTTATTAAACTCGCGTACAAAAATAATAAAGAAAAAATCGAAAGGAACAAAAGTCTTATTTATCTACGGAAAGTATTGGGCTTTGCGTACAGTAATACCATAATCGGCCAATGCTGGTGCCAAATCCTCCATCGTCATGGTATATTTTGTGGGTTTAATCATTTTCGAACTACCATTTTGACTGTTGGAACGTGTTTTACAATGCTGCAGGGCATCATTTGCCACATCTGATATAAATTTCTGTGTGGCAACGGATATTAGGCGTACTATGCGTGGGTCATTCGTATCAAAGCCAGCGGAATTTAAATAAAACGATGTAACTGCATCCGGAATGGTGGGTACATAGTCTTCCAGTTGCAGCATAAAATCACTTAGTTGGCTAGTCTGAAAGATGCAAAGGGTGGCTTGTATTAATCGTGTTAATATCGAAGTCCAAAATGTATTCTTACCTCTTGTCCTGGTGCCGGTGATGCTGTTGCCATAGGTTGATTTGGCCCATTCGCTGCAGAGGTCGCATTCGCTGGACGGAATATTCCAAAGTTTGTTCCAATCATGTTCCCAGAGTTTTCGTTTGTTTTCTTCGGAATTTTGTTGCCCGTTGTTGTTGCTGTGGTTAGTGACATCTGTTTTTTTGTCAGGAAAGTGTTGTCACTTTTATTTAAAAAAAAATCGCAAAAAAACATTCCCTTGATAACCCATCACCAAATAATCGATAACTTTGTTTTAAAACGGTGTACACACTAGCACTCATGATCCAATAAAAAGGTCGTGTTAGAAGCAATCGTTATCGACAATTTTGGACTAACATCGTCCAAGCTGTCAAATTTTTTGTTTACGTTTTTACACAATTTGTCAAAATTGAAAACATTTTGACAACTCGGGTGATATCGTCTGTCCATATCGGACGAGCTAGAACTTTTGAATGACACTATTGCCCAAATTTGGCTTGTTTGATAGTGTGGCCTCTCATCAAGAATCCATAGAAATATTCAAGTTTGTCGGACAGTCATTAATCGATAAAAAAGCTGTCACACAAAAGTGTTAATGAATACACCGCTTACTTCTTCTACTTGTTCTTTCCATCCCTTCTGCGTGAAACATCAGTATGCCTTTTGAGCTTTACGGAAATTTCTCTCAGTTACCCGAGGATCTGAGGGAATAGGCAGCTCTCTGAAGCGAATTGTGACAATATCCTCTTTTCCTCGTGGGGACATCATTATTAACTGTGCAAAATATTGAGCAATCAATTTTGCACGGCCAGCGCTGTACTCCTCTGGTCATTACCTAGAACGGAAAACCACAAATCATGGTGAGCATTGAAATTTCCTAGTACCAGACGGTTATTACCTTCTAAAAGTGGGCTGATATCCGGTAAGTAAGGCGGTGTACAGCTATTCACTGGCGGTACGATCCTTCCGCACAAAATTGTAACCATCGCAAAGCTGTAAGCTGCAGTTCTCGCTCAAATTGGTTTCCTGGATCACACCGACCATTATTTTCCTTCGACTCATAAACTCCATAATTTCGCTCATCTTTTTGCGAAGACCATCGCAGTTGAACTGCAAGAACGATGCATTCTCTAGGCGCGGAACAGCAATATGAGGTGTTAAGTGGAGGGGGTCTCGTATTCCAACAACGACGATTCGGACGACGGTTCCTGCGACACTATGGGAGATGTGCTAGCGTAGCATGAAGCGATGTAACACCTTTCGCAGTACTCCTGGATCCGGTAGATTCTTGCAGTACCGGTACACACAAACTTTTGCGTATGTTTTTTTGTTTGTACATTTATCAGAAGAAGCATACAAAGTAGATTTTTTTGGTATCCACATGAATTTATCCTACCCTTTATCCTCTTTATTAAAAAAAAAAACATCCGATTTTCCAACAAAAACTCATTGCGTACTAAACACCTCTTCTGAATAGACCCCCTACTGCCAAATTGTGAAATTTAATTCACTGTTTCACCCTGTCGTGTCGATAATAAAAATAGTCGAGTTATCGAATGTTTGCAACGCTTCTAACTTTGACCAAAAATAATGGACAACAAACAAACAAAAATCCAACGGTATATACAGGGATAGATTTCATTAGGAACAGATTCAAGAACCAATTTGCAGAAAAGGATGGTAATAAGCAACGATGAAGAAGTAGAAAATACCGAGTATGTAATAGACGATTTGGAACCGGCTCCAGGCGAGGCATTGGGTGAATTGTTAATGCATTTGGAGGATTATACACCAACAGTAAGTATTTTGTGAAAGGGTCCTTGGGCCATAGGAGGAGTTTACGTTCTCAAGAGGACCCGAATCCCGCGGAGAATAGCAAGGGTCCGGATTAGAAAACCAATTTTGTAATAAAATTATAAACTCTTTGATGTATACAGATGTTTTCAATATTTTCCAAAGCAGCGGTATATTTTGTACATTTTGTCTGGAACTTCCAATCTTATTTTGATGATTTTTTTTTTTGGTTTCCGATAAAATTATAATGCAAATTTTGTAGATTTTTTTAAAAGATTTTCAGTTCAAAAACATTTTACTCTTTCATTTGATATCCCTCTATAGGTACCCGATGCTGTAGCCGAACAATATTTACATATGGCCGGATTCGAAGCTGTCGATCCACGCATTGTTCGCATAATATCGGTTACAGCACAAAAATTCATTTCGGACATTGCCAATGATGCTCTGCAGCATTGCAAGACACGCAGTAATAGCCAACATTCTGCTAGCCATGTATCGAATAAGGTAAGCCAGTTATAAGAGATTAATTTAAAAATAAAAATATTATAAATGTGTAATCTTTTTACAGGACAAAAAATTGAACAAAGATCGCAAATATACATTGGCCATAGAAGACTTGACACCGGCGTTGGCCGATCATGGTATTACTATGCGTAAACCCCAATATTTTGTTTAAATGTGGTGGAGAAAAATATTTTTTTTGTTTTTGGTTTTTTTATTTGAAATTATTAAGAAGAGACACAAAATAAAGATATTATGCATGTGTAAGAATGTGTGTGTTTATTAAGGGAACACCGATCATTTTCTGTTTCTCTATAGAAAAAGTTAGCTGAATTGATTTTTTCTAAAGAAAGAGTTTTCTGAATTGCCTTTTTTTGTAAAAATACGTTCGCTGAATTTACTTTTTCTATAGGAAACGTTCCACAAATAGACTTCCGCTAACGAAAAAGTTCGCTGAATTAGCTTTTTCCATTTGAAATCGTTGCTGAATTAATTTTTTCATTTTTCAGTGCCCACTGAATTTATATTTTCGGTAGAAAAAGTTAGCTGAATTAACGTTTTTATAAAATGAAGTCTACTGAACTTACATTTTCTATAAGAAACGTTCCGCAAATAGTCTTTCTCTATTAAAAAAGTGTTAGCTGAATTGATTTTTTTCTGTAAAAAAAGTTTTCTGAATTGACTTTTTATAAAAACAAGTTTGCTGAATATACTTTTTCTATAGGAAACGTTCGTCAAATTGACTTCCCCTAACGAAAAAGTTCGTTAAATTAACTTTTACTATTGGAAATCCTGGCTGAATTAACCTTTTCAAAAGGAAAAGTTTCCCAAATTGATTTGTCTATGGAAAAAGTTCGCAGATTTAATTTTTTCTATTGGAAATCGTCGCTGAATTAAGTTTTCCTATAAAAAATTGTCGCTGAATTAACTTTTTCTATTCTGTAAAATATATTTGTTCAACATAAAAATTTGTTGAATTTATATTTTCTACAGGAAAGTTTGCTGAATTGATTTTTTTCTATAAGAAATTGTGAAATTAACATTTTCTATTGAAAATCATTGCTGAATTGACATTTTCTATGGGAATTGAATAATTCTCCAAAAGAAAAGTTCGCAGAATTGATTTTTTCTACAGCAAAAATTTGCTGAATTTATTTTTTTCTTTAGGAAATCGTCGTTGAATTAGTTTTCTAATTAGTGCAAATTCACCCAACTGACTTGTTCTATATAAAAAATTCACTAATTTTTTTTCTACAGGAAAACTTGCTGAATTTATTTTTAATAAAAAAGCTTTGCCGAATTTTATTTTCCTATAGAAAATATTTGCTGAATTGATTATTTATACAGCAAAAATGTATTTTTGTAACAGAAAAAGTTCGCTGAATTGACTTTTCATTTTAAAGTATTTGCTGAATTGGCTGTTTCTACATGAAATATTCGTTGAATTGACATTTTCTATAGGAATCATTGCTGTATTATATTTTCCTATAGAAAATCTTTGCTGAATTTATTTTTTATGAAGCAAAAATTTGATTTTTCCCTGAATTGACTTTTCATATATGAATTATTTGCTGAATTGACAATTTCTGTATGAAATCTTCGCTGAATTAACATTTTCTAATGAACAACTTCAATAAATTGGCTTCTTCTATGAGAAACCATTGCTGAATACACTTTTTTCTACAGAAAACAATTGGAGAATTGATTTTTCTATTAAAAACTTTCTGTGAACATCTTTTCTATAAGAAAAGTTGTGCTGAATTGGCTTTTTTCACAGAAAAAGTTGTCTCTATTGTAGTTTTGTATATATTTTTTAAGATTTGGACAAACATTTTGTATTCAGCTGGCAACCACTAAAGGTCATTTATCTTAACTGTGCTAGTAGATAATCTAAGATAACAATAAATTAAATAGGCTATGTATAAATCAATTTTATTTATTTGTAGGAGACACGTTGCTTACCTGTTGCCTATTACCAAAATAATAATGCTGATAACCCACTTTCAAATTATTATCTATAATAATTATTAATTGGTTGAAGTGCCTATTTTTTTTATAAAATATTACTACTTTGGCAATTTTTAAAACTATTTTAAATATTATGCCACAATAGTTTGCCTTATAAGTTTTATGTAATAAATCTTTTGTAGCGCCTTTTTTGTTTGCATTTAAATTTGTCACTCATGATATTTGATCGTTAGATAGGTGCCGTGGAAATCGTTTCCATAATTCTTGTGATCATTCCATAACTAATAAAAAAAAAAGAATGTACTCGGAATGCACTGGCGATGCACATGTCGCCTATGGTAAGAATTTCAATGGTTTGCTTATATGCAACGAAAATTTTTGAATTTGTAAGCAACGAACATTTCGTCAGATTCGTATAAATTGGAAAAGAAAAAAAATAGTTTTTTTTTTTCAATTTTCTGTTGTTAGTGTGTTCATGGGTGTAGAAGAAAGTTGTAGTATTTGTGTAAATTGAATTGAATTATCACACAAGTGAATCTAATGAATGTGGTCTATTTTTGAATTTTTGAAAAGTGTCTGTAGCAAAGTGAATAATTTGAATTTTAACAAGTTATGAAATAATACTACAGAAGATATTTAAAGAAAAAACGTCACAAGAAAATATACATTTTGAAAACTTTTTTTAGATACAACTTTTAATTTGTTTGTATTAGAAAACCATTTTTTTTTTATATTAATATATATTTTTTTAAACCCCGTCTATATATTAAAAGAAATAACTGAAACAACATTTTTAAAGAAATCAAAGTCAATATATTAAATTTTTTTTCGAACATTTCTTTTTAATTCCACGATTGATATTTTATTTCATTACAATATGTTGAAATACTACACGCCTATATATTAAAAAAAATTAGTATATGTAATTATAAAAATTTCTCAAATCTACAAGACTTAATAATGTTCGAAAATATGTTTTTAAATCCACGCCACGTATTTTTTTAAATTTCACTTACTTACTTATCTGGCGTGTGACAGAACTTTCGTTCCATAAGCTGAGCTTAGAAAAGATTTACAGGCGCGTCGGTCTTTTGCGCAGTTGTCTTCGACTTGATCTTTCCATCGTATTCTTGGCCTTCCCCTTCTGCGTGAACCATCAGCTGGTTCGCTTTTATATGCCTTCTGGGCTGACCATGACCTAGCTAACGTAGTCGCTGCAGCTCAATACGTCTAACAATACCGATGTCTGAGAATAGCTGGTACAACTCATGGTTCATCAGACGGGGATATTCACCTTCTACGCAGATCGGCCCATAGATCTCTCAGTGAATTTTTCTCTCAAACACTGCATCACCTGCTTGCGTAAGTACCCATGCTTCAGATCCATATAACAGCACGGGTGGCCTTGCTTTTGAGTTGCTTGCTCAGACCATGGTAGCATCTGTTGGCCTTCTCCGAATTTCAAAACTGATGTCATTAGTTTTATTTATGGCGGTACCAATGTATATAAAATCTTTGACTACCTCGAATCTGTATTTCTCAAGTCTACTGGACGTCTTGTGCGTTGATACCATCAGTTTGGTTTTATAGCCGTTTACTGCCAGACCCACTTTGGCAGACTCCTTCTCTATAGTTCGACCAATTATGTCGATGTCATCGGCGTAGGTGAGTAACATGTGTTGCTTGGTGTACAGAGTGTCATTTCTGTTCACCTTTGCCTCTCGTATGACCTTTGACAAACTGTCACCCTGTCTAAATCCTCGTTCGATATTGAAAGGCTGCGAAAGGTCTTTTCCGGCTTTAATTGCTGATCTTGAGCTAGTTAAAGTTATCCCGCAGACATGGGTTTAAACACATCTGAACGGATAGGGCTGTCGAATGTGGCTTTATAGTCGACGAATAGGTGGTATGTGTCGATATGTTTTTCGTGAGCTTTTTTTCCAGGATTTGGCACAGCCGCATTGGTATAGTCCAACAATGTCATTGACCATTGACTTCAGTCTTTCACACAGCACACTGGATAGCACTTTATATGCGATGGGAAGGAGATTTATTCCTCTATAGTAGGCCCATATCTTCTTGTCTCCTTTTTTGTGCACGGGACACAGGATGCTGAGGTTCCAATCATTGGGTATGCATTCCTCTAGCCAAATTGTACTAATCAGCTGGTGCAATATCCTGACCAGCATCTGACCACCAGTCTTGTATAGTTATGCTGGTAACCTATCGACAGCTGCTGCTTTATTATTCTTCAGCCGATTGATTGTTATTCTGACCTCAACTTGGCAAGGTGGTATACACTCTATACCTTCATATTGATTCTGGGGTATCCTCTTCACCGCTAATATTTGATGCCAGAAGTTTTTCAAAATGCTCCTTGCAGATCCTCAGTCTGCATCTGTCACCAGGTTTCCTTCTTCATCTCTACAGGAGGATGTGCCTGCACCAAAGCCTTCGGTTTGGTGTTTTACTCGTTGGTAAAATTTCCGGACTTCTTCAGACTCCTGTACATCTCGATTTGCCAACGCTCACGTTTTTCTAGCGTTTCTCCTTTCTCCTTTTCTGTCGATAATTCTCCATCACATAATATTTATTACAAAAAATATATTTTATAAAATCCACGCCTTGAAACCTATTACAAAAAAAATGTATATATATATATATATATATATTTTTTTTAAATCCACGCCTAAATATGTATTACATTTTTTATTTATTAAAACAAATATTTTTTTAATGAGTAAAAACAAATATATTAAAAAAAAAATTTAAAAATATAAATATAATAAACATCTAAATATTAATTAAGAAATATTGATATCAAATAATTTACGGAAAAATCGTTTTTTAAAATATCCAAGCCAAAAAAAAAATCATTGTAAAAATATTGAAATAACGCGCCTTATTATTCAAAGGAAAAATATATATATTTTTTTTAATTTACCCCTTTAACATATAAGGAATTTGCTTTTTATTCTTTTTTATTTACAAAATTTCATTACAAAATACATATTTAATTTTTATTAGTTTTAATCTAAATTTCAAGTACT